CTCAGCGAATTCCAGGCCTTGTTTGATCTCAGTTTGGCTCTCGGTGTCTAAGATGGTCGAAAGAAGTTCCTCCTTGAGTACAGTGTTGGCGTTTATCTTCGCCTTTATTTCTGGGATTTGTGTCCGGAAGGAAGCATTCTCTCGATCAATGGCATCGACTTTTTCCTGCGCAGACGCTTTTTGTCTCGACAACTCTGCAATTCGAGAAGTCGAATCTGAGACAGCAGTCCACGCAGAGGAGCTTTTGCCATACAACACCTCAAGCTGACTGTTAAACCCCCCTTTGGCGCCTGTAATCTGCTGAGACTTGATCAATCATAGAGTGTAACTCCATGATCAAGTCTGAGACTTCTGGGGCTACAGCTTCAAAGTCGACAGCATTCAAGACCTCTTTCAAGCATGATGGAGCAGTGGGGTCCCCCTCTAAAGCCTTCATCAAGTCCCTCTTGAAGAACTGGGCCTTAACCTTCGCCAAAGCATCATCAAGGGGAGAAGTTTCAGTAGACTTCCCCGACAGGGTAGGAATTTCCTGACTAGCGTCAGACGAACTCTTACTCTCGATGATTGCGTTGAGATAGCTAACAGGGTCAGTTTGTTTCAAGAGTTCTAAGTCCTCTTTCGACCTGTGCTTCGAGGAGGTAACCCTTGCAACAGTATTATCTTGGGTTTGAGGATGTTGAATGTTAAGTGCCTCGACTGGTTGCTCTTCGACTCGGACTGGGGCCGTACCAGCGTCGACTTGTGGTTCTTCGCTAGCATCACCCTGGGGTCCTTCGCCAGCGTCATCTTGGTGCTCTTCGCTAGCGTCACCCTGGTGTCCTTCGCCAGTGCCACCTTGGTTCTCTTCGTCGGCAGCATTTTGATTTTCTTCGCCATCATTGCCTTGGTCCCTTTCTTCATGATTCTCTTCTGACAGATCCACCACCTGAACCGTTTCTGGCTGTTGTTCCTCCACCAGGGGTTCCTCTGTTGGTTTCTCTACCGTTTCAGCATTGGCCTCATTCTCAGTATGGGCTTCGTCATTGCCCAAGCCTTTTTCCTGAGGCCTGCTAAGTTCAGCAGATTCCAGCGTTTCTGAGGTCCTTGGCGGAGAACTTTCAGTAGTGTCCTGAAAAGGGAAAGAAGACAAATCTTCAGAGATCGAAAGGGACACAATCGAATAGGGGTATCTATACCTAAATTATAAAAAGGTCTAAGGGATTACCTGTGGATTAGCTTCAGCCCCAGGACTGGAATTGTCGCTTTCGACAGGCTTGTTGAGAAGAATGTTTAGTTCCTCCTCAGTTGGCTCCTCGATGATCACTGGAGGTGGCCTAGGCTTTCTCACAGCGACCTTTATTCTGACAGTTCGACCTTCAGGAGCAGGAGCAGGAACAGAAGCATCCTTCGTCAACTTTCGCCTCTTTAGAGGGGCAGGAGGGGAATCACTTTCTTCATCACTCCCAGATTCGACCACCAGTCCCGGCCGTTTCTTGGGCGAAGGTGCCTAGAAAACCAATAGGAATTCGATTGAATAAGTGCATCGAAAATCAAAAATCGAAAGCCAGAAGGAAAATGAAGAAAGTCTGGTTACCGATATAGAAGGCTTCTTCGAAGGGCCTTCCCCCTGTTGGTTGCTTGTGGTCTTCGCCGGCGCTGTAGTCTTCGCCGGCGGTGGAGGTTTTGTTGAAGGGCCTCCTCCTTGTTGACCTTCTGTAGCCTTCTTGGCTACAGGCTTTCGAACAACTGGAAGCAAATAAAAAGTTAACAGGCTAGTAGTCGAAAGAAAGACAAAAAGTAATGTGAGAACATAAACTTACATTTCTTTATTTTGTCCAACACAAGGACAAAAGACTTCTGCAGCTCATCCATGAAGTCCTTCTCGTCGAAGAAGTACTCAGCATAATAGCTTTTCCACCACTCCTCGAAGGATGGTGAACAAAGAAAATTGAGCTGATAGTCAAACAACGAGAGGACTGTTCGACCAGCATATCTTCCGATATGCTTGATGGCAGCTTCTTCTGTATAATCATTGCAGAAGTACAACATTGACTTCTCTCTTTGAAAAATCGGAGAAGGTAGGGTTTGGATAATACCAAACTGGCGAGATACCAGGTTTGGTTGGTATGCAATCAGACTCAAATGAGTCTTTGAGCTCTTGAATCGAAGAGGCATGATCCTTGGTGTAAGGAACGCCTCCCAAAGTATTGTATGCTCATCGACATTGGGACCACTCGACGCCCTTGGATGTGGCCTTGTGAACCATGCTGGGCCTACCTGCCGTCGAGCAAATGGAGCCATAGTTGAGGCAAACTCCTTCCTTCGAGCAAACATTAGAACGAAGTTGGTGAAGGTTTGCTGAAACTCCAGTCCATCGTCCGTAGGTGTCAGCAGAGCCAGCCTGGTTCCTTCGACGCGTCTATTCGCTATCGCTGGAGCCTGTTCATTTATCTGAACCTTCTTGGGCAAGAAAGATTCGAAAGTGGCGTTGAGCCACAGTTGGAGTAGCCAAAAAGGCCCAGCGAGTAGCAAACTGGCCCTGTCCTCGATATGTTTCAGAAGAGTTGCCCCATTGCTGATCGAATCATAGAGGCTAGCCAGAATCAGTTCTGCCAAACAAATGTTTTGGCGGTGATGCAGTTGAGTAGCAAGAGTGACCATCTTTTTGGTCACTTGTAGAGACTTCGAGCAAAACACAAAGCGAGTCAGCCATAGGGCTAGAAACGCTATGTGTTCGACATCCGACACAGCATCTGTCGACCTGTCATGATAATGGTTGATGAAAGTGGTGTATGTTGGTTTGGTCTCAGAGAAGCCAATTTGGTCCTCCGACATCTCCTCTGGATCGAAGTAATCCCCGGTGGGTCGAAGGCCAGTAATAGCGGCCACATCGAAGAGTGTGGGGGTTAGCATCCCACAGGGAAGATGAAAAGTAAAGTGGGAGTAGTCCCAGAACAACAGTGAAGCTATCAGCATCTCCGGGGAATAGTTCAAACCCGTCTTCGACAGCATCACTAGGTCGAAGATTCCCATATCCTTCCAGATCGAAGTTTGGTGCTTCTCCAACTTTGTTAGCCAAGCAACATAATCGGAGGTAAGGTTAGGGCAAGACCTGAAGAACCTAACACCTCTGTTGAAGAAGCGGAGGTCGATTTTTTCACGTGCAGGGTCTTCATTGTCTTCTGCGTCTTTCTTGGCGCATGCGACTGGTTTGAGTTTCTCGACTATTGGGAAATAGCTCTTGATCTTCAGAGCTTCAGAGATACTTGGATTCATGGGGCCAGACATTGCAAAGATCTGGTTGGAGTATCCAACCGGGATCATCAAGTGGCGCGAGTAAGCATCGCGAACGGCGATGTCAGAAGGTTCAGGAACCCTTCGTTTGCCTGTAGAATTTACCACCGGAGCAGTGACGAAAACCTTGGGTTTAGCATGTTCAGTTGGTGCGTTAGCACTAGGAGCAGTAGAACCAGATGCCATGGATCAGTGTTGGGTTTGAAATGAGGTTGAAGACGAAGTGAAAGAGGAAGAGTTTCTACAAAGATAACAAGCTTGTATGAAAACAGAGAAGTTTGAAAGGCTAGATGGCGTAAAAAGTCCCACAATGGGGTACTTACTACTATTTATAGTAGTGGGAAAAATCCCCAATAACGAGGACATTAAATGCCATTTAATGCTGCAGGAGTTAGTGGGACGCGTGGCAGCCCCCTGTTGTTTTGGCCGTTTCTGCAGAAATAGAGGGACGCAGCGTGCGTCCTCGTTTTTGGGAATTGTCATAATGACAAATTCTGAAATGACATTTGGTACTGCACGCCGTACTGAAAGTGACGTCCTAGGATCAAATCAATGATGGTTTTCTTGGGATTGCCAATAGTTGGTAAAAAGCAACAAAAAGTGCACAAGTTAATTTGTGACTAAGCGTGGAAAGACAGGTGTCGAATGGCGTTTCAAAGAATGCCTTTTTCTTTCAGAGTCGAAATAAGGCATTCTTGGGGGGCAATTTGTTGGCTCCTAAATTCGACACCTTTGTTTTGATTGATGTCAGCCATTAAAGCTGAAGGATGTCTTCGACTGGTTAAGTCTGTCGAAATGCCCGTCGAAAGATGGCAAAGTACTTAGAAGATTTCTTCCAAGGAAGAAGGCTGGTTGCCTTCGACGTCGAAGGAGTTTCTCGTCGAAGATGTCTCTTGACGAAAGTGTTCGACGGTTCAGGGTGAAGCAGTTTGAAATTCAAAGCTTTTGGAGGGAAAACGGTTTCCAGCAGTTACTACGTGCAAACGTGCAAGGATCTGGAGCGTCGAGCATGGAGAACGTGCCAAGTGGATTGATCTCGAAGCAGTGTAACAGCCCTACGGTTACTTGGGATGTTTTAGTATAAATAGGAGTAGACATGTAGTTTCTCGCGTGTGTTCACAATTCTATACAAAGTCACTCATATAGATTCGAGTACCCAGCGTGTGAGAAAGAATTGTTGAGAAATGTATGTGTGAAACACCAATTTTATCAATTAAAGTCATTTACTTTTCCAGAAATTTACTTGCTTTCTCCTTTACATTCTTGTCGAACCTTTTACTTTAAAGCCTTGTTTATTTTACCAAGTCTTTCCTTTATGCAATTCATTTAAAGCCAATTTATTTAAAGCGTTATCCAATTCAATCAAACTTCAAAATCAACCTATGTCCTAGGATCAATCTGATCGATCCTGCGAGTAACCAAATAAGTAACCATTTGGAGGATCAGCGGTTGTTTACTAAAACCCAAGGTAAACGCTAATTCTCTAGAAAGAGTTACTCCGTTCATGACTAGTTCCAGAATCTTTTTATCGCGATCCACACACTGTATTGTTCATTGTATTTCTAGTGAAATTCATTACATTGTCTTGCTTCAAAACAAAAGATTGGTTTGCAAACCCCACACTTAGGAGAATAATATAATTTTGCTAATATAGATTAAATATGATTTTTATGATCAAATCACAAATGAATGCAAGCTTAAATTTACATCTAAAGGGTATAGCTTACCAATGCCGCCAGCAAGAAATGACTCGTGAAACACAGAAGCATCAACAACAACACCAATACCGTCGCTTGGGGGTATAACAAAACCTATAAGCAGAAGCACAAGACCAAGTGTAAATCCATCTATTCCCAAATTGAGGAGGAATCTCACCAGTCAAAAAATTATGAGACAGTTTCAAATGCCTCAAAGAATCACAACCAACAGAATCATTCACAGGAATCGAACCAGAAAATTGATTATCAGACAAATCAACAATTTTCATATTCTTAGAAAAAATAAACCCATCCGGAATACTACCAGAAAAAGCATTACCAGATAGATTAACAAGTTTAAGCGATTCAAAATAACTCATCTGTAAAGACACATTTCCTGAAAAGTTGTTACCTTGAAGCTCAAGAACCTCAAGTCCCCGGAGATTCATCAAACTCACCGAAATTTCGCCAAAGAAGATGTTTTCAGGAATCGACAAAACTCGAAGCTCGGATAACTCTCCGATGGAAGACGCCAGTTCACCGCCGCGTAGACTGGTCACATTAAGTGAAACCACTCTTCCGTTTCCTCTTCCGCCTCCTCCGCAAGTGACACCATGCCAGCTGCAGAATGTGGAGGATGAACCGTTTCCTCTTCCGCCTCCGCCGCTGTTTTAGACTAATATATATATAACATAAGTTTTTACATTTTTAGATTTCTATTTTTTAAATATATATATATATATATATATATATATATATATATATATATATATATATATATATATATATATATATATATATATATATATATATATATATATATATATATATATATATATATATATATATATATATATATATATATATATATATATATATATATAATTTTTTATTTTTTGTTTAATTGAAATTTTTTATTTTTAAATTCCTGTGTTAGAAAAATATTTTTTTTTATATATATTAATAATGTTTAGAGAAAAATATTTGTTTTTTAGTGTATAAGTTTTGGAGGGAAGATTGCCACCAAAAATTTGATAATTCTAAAAAAATTTATACAACATTTCGGAAATGTAGCCTTTTATTAGAACTAATGTAACAATCTAAAAATGTCCCCAAAAATATTTTAGGGGACAATTGTCAAACATTGTTAAAGAAATAATATTTTAACGCTCTAAAATCGTCCCCAAAAGCAGTTAAAGGCACAATTAACAACCGTTGGCAAAATAATAAAAGAGTATCGCTCCATAAACGTCCCCAAAAGTATTTTAGGCAAAGATTATCAAGGGTTGCAAACATATTTTTGACAACAATCGTAAATCGTTGCCTATATGAATTTAAGGCAACAATTTCTACATGTTACCTAAAAAAGTGTTGCCAGAGACAACAAATATTGTAGTGTTAAGATTTTAAGTGAATAAGTGTTGTATCTCTCACAAAGATATATATTCCTACACTATATATCGATGCTCCTAATATTTCCCCAACAGTGATAGTCTTTGATTGTGAGGGATGATGTAGCAGGATGTTGTCAATTGGTACTTTTTTCGATCATTTCTTCATTTTAAAAAGACAGATGCTCTTCTGATCTAGATAAATTTTCTCTACTTTGTGTCCATACTAACATCTTCATTTCCCCACAGTTGAGAGAATATAATTCTACTCCTATTAAATAGGTAAGGCCTCATGTAATGAAAAGCTACTATGTATGTTTCTTTAATTCGTATTAATGCGAAGCATTTATTATCAGTAGTAAAGTTGTCTTGCGACACAAGTTACACAACAATGATATCATCCCAAATGTTCAATACTTCATCAAAAAATGGAAGCTTTTAAGTTAGGGGTTTCATTCTTTTTCATATCATTCTAACCAATCAGTGAGTTCATCTTGATTATGGATATGCTTTATTCGTATTTATATGTGTATCACCGCAAATTTTATTTGAATTTTTATTAATTTAATAATATAATTTTTGTGTATTTTTATGATTTTTTTATTAGTAGTGTTATTATTATTATTATTATTATTATTATTATTATTATTATTATTATTATTATTATTATTATTATTATTATTGTTGTTGTTGTTGTTGTTGTTGTTGTTGTTGTTGCTGCTGCTAATATTATAAAAAAATATAGAATAAATTAGAAATAAGAAGTTAGTAGAAGTGAAAGAGGGTAGAGTTGGAAAATAAAGTCAAAAAAATTATAATAAAAAAACATGAATTTTTAATTAAGGGAAATAAAATAAGAAATTAAGGAAAATAGAATAAATAGGGAGTGTCAGGGAGAAAATGGTGAAGTGTGTTTCTCATGGAAAAAAAGGAGGAAAACCTAATCCTCAATGATTTCTTCTTCTCCAGAGCTCTAAGAGAAGGTCTCAACTCACCATGGAGAGAGTATTAGAGTTTGTGCAAGGAAAGACGTCTGCCATTGTTCAGAGTTTGCAAAGAAAATTTTGCACTAACAAAGTAAAGGGGCGAAGATTATTTTATGATTTTGGTATTTTAGCATTTAGGGTAGTGGGGTATCCATAGAACCCCGAATTCATTCTAATTCCTATAGAAATTTTCCCACGAGATGATTATTCATGAATTCCTAGGTTATGAATCTCTCTTATATCATCAACGGGTTAGGTTATTTGAATAACTTGATGTGTTTTTCCCTAATTTACTTGTATGAATGTTAATATCATGTTTTGATTTGATGAATCTGTGTTATGCTGAATGGATTGTGTTTAATTGATTGTTATTTGATGCCTTAATGTATTATCCTTTCTAAATTCGTGTCGAGACTGTTTCTTGGGGTTGAATTGAGTTTATACATGATTACTGCTATGGAAAAGTGAAAATTTGCACAGTGCAATTGATTACCAACCCTTCTGTAACACCCTAAGTCTCAAAACTTATATAAAAAGGATCACTCGACAATTTAAGGTGTCACCAAGGATAACCCTTCAAAAAAACATAGACATTTAGAAAACATACAGCGTATAAATACATATCATACAACATCTGTCATCACACGCTCGCCATATCTTAGGCTCATCGCGGCAGAATAATATGAATTTCAGTAATAAAACATAACAACCTCGACTTTGGTCTTATAAAGACTTAACTTTCATAAAATTATTCAAATGGAGTGGTAACATCCAACTCGTAGCACTTCAAAACAACTCGGTGTAAACAGTATTAAACTTCAACGAAACACAGTAATCAACTTCAAACATAATAAAAACGCCTCATTCTCGATGTTACAGAATCAGAACACTAAACCACTAAAGCAATAAACAAGTAAAAATAACTCCAAGATCTAAACAAGTGAAAAAAACTTCTAATCTTGGTTATCTGCAAGATGTCCATGATGGACAATATTAAAGCCAAGGGGGTGAGAATACACTTCCATAATTTAGCAACGTAAAAAAAGGAAGGTAGAATATCACATAACAACAATTACCCACACTATATCATAACAATACCAACACAACAAGTATTCTCATCCAAATAACACATCATCAAATAATCATTCACAAATGCAACACCAATGCAATGTACTCAACAACTGACTAAACATACATGTGGTACCATTTATGGATAACACATGTCCATCTCGCTCTCTGTTCCCCATCATAGGATCAAATTCCCTCTTGGAACCAGAACACACCAAAAATATCTATCATCATCATAGGTAACGCTTCACTGATTCCCACTAGAACCAACTACTTGCTCCTGATCTCCACCATAATACCAGAGCACAACAAAGTTGAACTGAAGTTTGTACACCATGAATGTATGACTCGACAACATGCACTTTATCCCATGAACATAAGGCCAATATTCTGATTGTGCACAACAATAATAATGCCAACAACATAATCATGATAGGAAAACATATCAATGCACAATGACATTTAATCACAACAAATATCACCATCACAATCATCATTTAATCATTTCCACTACTCAACACAATCCATCAATTTAATCATATTATAATTAATTAAGCACTACTAATAATTAATCATAGACACCAAAAAATATCTAGGATCATCACATAACAACAAAAACTAGAATCCGAACACAATTCCATGCACCAAAGCTCATTATACTCATTCTAGATGCATGGCGGGTTACCCGTCATAGAAATGACGCCCGTCACCGACTCAAAGCATCCAAAACATTACCTACGTTATGACCGACTTGGAAAACAAGTTTGAGCAGCGTGACGGATTACACGTCATCATCGTGATGTCTGTCAGCACCCTTAAGCCCATGACACCTGTCATGGCAATGGCCCCTGTCATGGCGATGGCGCCCGCCATCAATCTGCAATCTGCAAAATTCTCTTTTCTGCATGGAGTTCAATTTAGAACTCTGATTTTTCGTTCCAGGCCCTCAAAATAGATTCAAAATATTTCGTGCATCACATGTAAACAGTAGTATCATGTTTTACATCAAATTAACACTTATAATCACTTATTTTCATAATTTCACTAAATCCCTATAACCTTCAAAAACATCAACCATGGCATAACCGTGAAAACAACTGACAACATAATATTTAGCACATATTGGTGCACAAATTTGATCATCAAAATCATCATATAACATCAGCATAACACAATTATACATATCTTATATACAATGCATACAATCCTATTGGAGGTTAAGGATTCATCAATTCTACCCCGCATGCTTAACACCCATTAAGAAAGAAATCTCTCCCTTACCTTGGTTCTCCTAGAAGTAATAGAATTCTGAATTAATTGGTGTTCTTCCCTCTCCCAAAGCTTTAAGTTTTCAATGCCAACTCTTGCCTCTTGCCTCTTTCTACATTCTGACATTTTTCCTCCCAAAACTAGGTTATCTCTTAACCTTTTATAATTAGGGTAATTACTCTAATTCTTAAAATTATAATTTCATCCCCTCACCTACACTCCTCTTACTCATCCATCCCTCTATTTTCTGTAATTCTCATTCCAAGCCCAAATCTATTATGTTCTTATTTTATTAATTAGATTAACCAAAATCTCTTACTTTAATTATCAAATTAATTTTTATCAAATTAATTATAAATTAATTCAATCAACTTATAACTCACTCTCCACACCCCCGCTTCAAGGACACACACCCCAAGGCTCATATTCATTTAATTACAACAACATAATAATTAAATAATTCACACAAAGGCATAATAAATTAATTAAAATAACCTATCCGAAATTAGGGTGTTACAATTCTCCACCACTTAAAGAAATTTCCCCCCTAAAAAATTACCTTAAGAAAACAGATTTGAATACGACTCCTTCATCTGGCTATCCAATTCCCAAGTCACGCTTCCACCACCTGGTCCTCCCCAAACTACCTTCACCAAGGCAATCTCCTTACCATGTAACTGCTTCACTTCCCTATCCTCTATCTGCATAGGTGATGGCTCAACATTCAGGTTCTCTCTTACGTGTACATCATCCCCTTGGATCACATGCAACAGATCTATAATGTATCTCTTGAATTGAGACACATGAAACACATCATGAAGATTATCAAGCGGCAGTGACAAAGAAATGTGATAGGACACTTTTCCTATCCTCTACAAGATTTGGTATGGACCAACAAAATGTGGCGTGAGCTTTTAAGACTTCAAATTTCGACCAACACCAATTATCAGAGTAACTCTAAAAAAACATGATCTCCCTCCTTAAACTCAAGTTCTTTTCTTATTTTGTTATGGTAACTCTTCTGGTGACTCTATGATGCTTTCATCTTCTCTTGGATCATCTTGATCTTCTCAGAGGTCTGCTGAACAATCTCAGTTTCGAGCATAACACTCTCACCTGATTCATAGCAACTTACAAGAGTTCTACATCTCATACCATACACTGCCTCAAACGATATCATTCCAATACTTGAATGGAAATTGTTGTTGTAGGTGAACTCAATCAATGGAAAATAGCTATCCCAAGAACCTCCATTCTCTAGCACACAAGATCTCAATAGGTCGTCCAAAGATTGGATAGTCCTTTTTGTTTGACCGCCTGTCTACAGGTGATAAGCAAAACATAACTGCAACTTAGTACCCAACGCTTCCTGCAAACTCTACCAAAACCTCGATGTGAATCTTAGATCTCTATTTGACACAATACTCAAAAGACTTTTGTGAAAACTGATAACTTTCTCAATATACAACTCAGTTAACTTCTATAAAGGATAAATGGTCTCAGTATTTGACTTCTAACAAGTCAAACAAGCATAAACAAACTCAACTACTTCCTTTTTCATTCTTGGCCACCAAAACATCTTCTTCAAATCTTGATACATTTTAGAAGCACCAGGATAAATCCTCATACCACTTCTATGTCCTTCCTCAAGGATATTCTTCTTAAGCCTAGTCTCATCTGGAACACAAAATTTATCTCTGAATCTTATCACATCATTCCCATTAATTCGAAAATAACCACCTTTACCTTGGTTGATTAACACAAGTCAGTAAAATAATATCTTCTGACTTTCTCTGATATCTTCGAGGATACCATCAGTCAACTTTATCTTACCCAACTTTACATTGTAAGAAGTCCTTTTGCATACCAAACTGAGATCTCTAAACTATTCAATCAACTCTAATTCTCGAACCATCAATGTCGATATATGCAAGGAATTCATGCTCAAAGCGTCAGCTACAACAATTGCCTTACCTGAATGGTAACTCAAGTAAAAATCATAGTCTAAAAATTCCAGCCACCTCTTCTGGCTCAAATTCAGTTTTTTATCGAACAATGACTTCAAGCTTTTATGGCCACTGAGCACTTCAAATTTGGAATCAAACAAATAATGTATTCAAATATTCAGAACAAAAACCAAAGATGCCAACTCCAGATAATTCATAGGATAATTCCTTTCATGAACTTTCAATTGTCTAGAAGCATAAGCCATAACCTGACTATTCTGCATCAACTCACCTCTTAGACCCATCTTTGAAGCATCACAATATACAACAAAGGACTCACTCGGATTCGGTAAAATCAATACTGGAGCATACATTAACTTTATCTTAGGTTCTTGGAATCTCTCTTAGTAATTCACATCTAAAACACAAGCTTAACCCTTTCAAGTTAACTGATTCTAAGGAAACACTAACTTTGAAAAACCTCCGACGAATCTTCAATAATAACCAGGAAAGCCAAGAAAACTTCTGACCCCAGTAATAGACTTTAAAGTCTCAGATTTCAACATCGCATAAAACTTCAATTGATCAAGAGTTATAGCTCCACTAGAAACTACATGACCAAGGAAACTCACTTCCTTTAAACATAAATCACACCTTGACAACTTCGATACAACTTCTTCTCTGGAAAAACCACTAACACAACTCATAGATATTCTTGAGGATATTTATTGGTCCTTCAATCATTTGGAATCTATGTATAATATGAAATATAATGACAAACATGGTTTTTCATGTAACACATTATGTATAAACCCATCTTCAAATCCATTTTGTTGAAGAAAATGACCCCATCCTTCTGTTAGAACAAGATTTGGATTCTACAATTAATCTCTGGATTTTGATGATAACAATACATATATTTTATATGTAAATAATTTTGTTTCTAATAGTTTCTTGAGTGTCCAAATTAGAAGTTATAATTAACTTAGGAATGTTGTCTGAAGAATCATCAGAAATATACCAAGCATGCATCAGAAAGACTACTGCATCCGCTTCTGAAGAAACATCAGTAGTTCTGAAGAATACTGGATGTTTTCCAGAAAGAGGATCTCTTGTGTATTTCTCAATAAGTTGTTGCTTCATAAGTCACAAGTTTCATACCCCAATTTTTGACCTAAGATACCACCTCCCATCTGTATCATTACATAGCAAGCGTTCACAAGCAATTCGACCTATTTTTGCCATTTCTCGAGTCAGATTTAAAAAATTCATAACTTCTTCAAATTTCTATATTTTTTTAGTGTTTCTTTTACATATGATTCTCCTTGATAACATCTACAACTTTTCTTTACAAGTCAAGAGCTGATTATGTTAGAAAGTCATCCGCAAGGGCAAAATGGTCAAAAGCACACTGAAAAGTCAAACTTTGATTATCAGATCAAATCAAGTTTCAACAATTTTATTTCATCAAGATATGAGATTGGTTCATCAAAAAATCAGGAGTCAGAAGTTACTTTGGAAAAATCAAAATTTCTAAACATTTAGAAAATTTTCTAAGTGTTAAGAGTATGTGATACTTCAGAACTTCTGAGCCAACCTCCATGCAAGTGCAGTCAGAAGTTACAAATTTGGTTCTGAACATAGCCTTCAATCAGAACATGGCTCTTCAGTCTCCATGCAAGTGCAATCAGAAGTTACAAATGTGGTTCGGAACATAATCTTCCATCAGAATGTGACTCTTCAGCACATAGAGATTACGCTTCTGATCTTCTGTGATCAGAACATCACCAAATCCTAAAACCTCGTTTAAGTAACCTGCTGCCCTGCTACATTATAGTGCTGCAGTCAATTGCTGACCCGGTCCACCCCTGCACTTTCTCAAATCCCATATTTGCATCAAATTAGCATAGGAAAACTGTGATTAAAAAGCATTGGAACAATATACCAAAAAGGTTTGAATCCCATTTGTTTTTCCCCCCAAAACCACAAAAAACCCATCTATAAATACTTTTCTCCATCACACATTAAAGGGGCTGGCTTTTGGAAGAGAGATTGGTAAAAAAGGGAGAGAAAAGGAAGTTGAAACCTTCATAAAAAATCCAGAAATCCCAAACAGAAAACCAAACCTCTGTTCTTCCTTTTAAATCAAAGTGCTTGGCACTTCCTCTTCCGTTACTCTTGCTGATTCCAGAACATCCAAAGGTAGCAGCTCAAATCTCCAAGCCCACGTTCCAGGTTCAAGGTAAGTCTTTCTGACTTTGCATCTTTTTCATTCAGAACATCATTAAACATGTAAATATCATAGTATTGATGTTGTTCATATCATTGCATAAGTAGAAAAAACTGTGGATCAGAGTTTCTTGATTAGGGCTAGACTCAGATTTAGGATTAGAACTTCTATAAGTTGTTGTTTTGTTATCCTTATGTTTTGCTTTTTAATAAGAACTGAATGAATTGCTGGTGTGCTGATTAAAAGTCAAAATGTAACACAGAACTTTTGTTTTTCACTCATCATTTTAACACACAGAACTTCTAGGATTTTCTCACTATTTAAGCACACATAACTTCTGAGTTCTCTTTACTGTTTTAACACACATAACTTCTATGATTTTTTCTCACTGTTAACACGCACTGAACTTCTGATTTTTACATGCTGAT